AATGATAAAAGCTGATGTTCAGGGGTATGGTGTTAGCTGTTGGAAGAGGTGGAGGAAAATAAAAAGCAAATGGTATGGAGGGGGTCGGAGGGGGGGTGGCGTCTCTTTCTACCGGTAAATGATTTCCCTCTGATGAAAGTGAGATAGGGCTGTATATCAATACTGCTGTGCAGATCTCCCCATGACAGCGCAGGGAGATGGCCCGCTGTGATAAAACAACATAAGGGGGTGGGGGTGGAGACACATAGGAAAAATCTGAGGAAAGAGCTGCCTGTTTTTTTGTTTTTTTTTTGCCACTGTGTTGAACTTGACAAGAATCAACAAATCACCAAAGGAGGACAAATCAAAAAGTACTCGTCAGCCCACTCGGTTCCCTGAAAAGAAACTCCGGCGCTTTGGGGAAGCGCTCTTCTGACTTTGGTGTAGTTTTGTGGGCCGGCCCGCTGACTGACGGCAAGAGCTGTTGAAGCACTTGATGAAGTTCTGATGTGTTTTTTCACGTTCTGCCAGCCAAACCATCAGATCTTCAAGGACTCACCCTCACGACGCCGGAACACCTCATGTGGCGGAATGGGATCTGCCAAATTGGCAAATGGCCGTGGCGATCCTTGCACACTCACAAAAATTAAGCTATACCAGCTTTTCCGCATGCTCAGTCTACAAAAATACAATCCATACGTTTAAAATGGGTGTTTGACATCGGCAGCTAAAAAAGAAAAAGAAAAAAAAGGGGGGTTGGTTGTGTCATTTCACGCCTGACGAGGAGGCACGACAGAGACCCAACTCTTTGTATCCATGCGATTTCAAAGTCACTTTGACATCATGTGCCCCATTTAAGCATCTGCCAAAGAAAAGTAGATATTTGAATTTTTTTTTGAGTTTCATACGAGGGTGGTAAAGGCGTTTTGCATTTGACGGATGTTCCAAAGCACACACTACAAATGAGTGCCGTGTAAAACAATTTCACAGCCACTTCTCCCTAAGACAGCTGCCGCTTCGTTTCCATGTTTTGTCAATGTTTTCTAATCTGCGTTTAAATATTTGAATGAAATTGCAAACACACTCCTTTCACACGTACGCGCACACGTGCGGAAACCCTTTCATCCCGACACGAGCATGCCAGTTCACACACTCTTTTGTGAGGGAGGAGACAAGATGTGATTTTTTTTTTTTAAATTTCACCACCTCAGCAACCCTTGTAATTAGGAATATTCAAAGATGAAGAAAATTAAAATACACAGTGGCACCCTCTTTTTTTTTTCATCCCCAAATTTGATTGGATGTTTTCCTGTCAGGGTGACTAAATACGACTTAAGCGCCTTTGGCTGCTTTTGACAAGGTGTCATTGGCTCCTCAAGGGTTAAGCCTAAAACCCGAGTTATTTGGAGTCATCAGATTAGCGTGTGTGTGCGCACTCGGGTAATATTAGTGGAACCTCACAGAAATGTCTTTCCCATCTCTTTACACACACGCACACGCTCACGCACACTCACGCCCAATGATGTATGCAGCTGTCATTATCAGGCATGTCTCATTGTCTCTCCTCTCCTTGAATTTCTTCTTTTACTTTCCCTCGCTGCTAAAAATACTTGCTTTTCCAATTGCTTGCTTCCTTTCATCAGCTGTATTACAACTTTCAGACCGCCACTTTGGCAATGTAATTACCCTGCCCTTACAACAAATGCAAATGTTTGCACTTTTTAAACTCACACTCGTCCTGATAAATGGTCAAACGTGTCCCAAAGCCTCAAGTTAGCTCTTCTCGTCTTATTTTCTTTTCTTTTTTTTCAGGGCTGACAATCTATTGTGACGCAGAAGCATTTCTTACTGTTCCGGGTGTTTTGTGTTAGATTGTCCTCTCCTGATTGCGCAAGTGGGTTCTGCATTTCTTTGCCCACATGCATGAAGGTGAAGTGTGAAAAGGCAACTTAGCACCTGATGAGATGCCAGCAAGTTCATCAGCACGCTGTTGCTGACTTCTTCTGATTGATTTTTATCGCTAACTTTTAATTTTTTGGGGGGAAGGGGGGGGTTAATTTGGTTGATAGGATTTCGTTTGTAAAGATGATGCCTCCCTCAAATTGTTCCTTCCAAAATATTGTGATGGCCCTGGCGGACATCTTTGTTTCAGTCTCCCTTCTTTCCCCCTCTCCAGTTAAACGCTCGGCGGGAGGAGAACAAGCACTTGCGTAGGCAGCTGGAGGAAGAGAGGGGCACGTGCACACAAGTCCCGCCTCCATCCCCCTCCTTGCCAGTGCCCACCCAGCACTGCATCTCCAGTCCTCCATCCCTTCCACCTTGCTCCTCCTCCCAACCTGAAACAAGCGACAAGGGGCATCGAGGGGATCAAAAACCCAAGGTGAGCCATGTGGAGCAAAGCTAGCTAGACCAGGTGAATCCCAGGCTTTGAATGAAGCCCCCCCCCCCCCCATCCCCTCTGCTCCCCAGGAGAACTCAGTCCGGTGAGGGAGCCAACCAAATAAAGCCTGCAGACCACTTTGACCTGCCACAACTTTTCAACCTCCAGCTCCTCACCGGGGAGCATGCTCAGTACGGGGTTAATGTCCTGCAGGTCAAAGTCAAGTCCCGGGGTGCTTATTGCCTGAAGGGATGAAGGCAGGCAAGGTTCTCCAGAACTGGCGAATAATTTCCTTGAATTGTTTATCTTCATCTCAGAGAGAGAGAGAGAGAGATTTTTTTTAAATACTTGTGTGTGTGTGTGTGTATAAACAATAATAATAAATAATAATACTAAATTGTTGCCCAAAGAAAACATTTAAAAATCTCCCATTGACAAAAGTGAAAAAGAATTGAACAAAATCCAATGGTGTCGTTCAAATGGTCCACTTGAAAGGGTTAAACCATGATTAAAAACATGACCTCTTGGAGATTTTTGGTTTGTTTGTTTTGATCCAATTACAATAAAATAAAATATTTTTTTTAAACTAACGCACTAAACAAGTTACCTAAATACTTTCTGCACTTCTGTGGTCCACATCACAAGAAAAACAATAGTTCACCGATGAGAATCAAAGCCTCATGCGGTTAGAACAGATTGCATTTTTGTTCTTGTCAGAATAAAATTCTATTTTTCTCAGAGACGTTGTAAATCGCTCTCCAGACGTCAGATGATATTAAATATTTGTTTGAGATCATTCTGGCCAGTGACAGGACACACCCAATGAAGGAGGTCATTTTGTGGCAAGTTCATTCTCCAGAACAGCTGCAAATCACGGCTGACCCCTCAAACTGAGTACAAATTGAGCAACCCCAATCTGAAAATGACCGTTCACGTCATCGGACTTTGCTTGCGGTGGTAGTTAGTTTGTCTTGTGTCGATTGGGTGGCTTTAATGAGCCCGATGGTCCAAGGGAAGAGTTCACTCGCGTACCGATGAAATGTCTACCACGCTTGAAATGAGTCTGGAGCCCATTTGGAGTAGCGGCAACACGCTTGCCGACGGTACTGCAGCCGAGCGCCATGTGTCCCGCATCGACTGCGGTCACTGCGGCTGTGTGCCCTGTCATCACGACATGGTTTGAGCGCCTTCCACTGCCTCCGGGGAAGCGCTTTGTGGCCGTGCTGGTGCGATTGAGTGCTTGTTTTAGATTCACTTTCATACTGTGAATAGAAATGTCTTGTTTGCTTTTTCCATGCCTGGACGTGGGTTGCAATCGCTGGAAAAAAAAACAAACAAAAAAAAGATTCAAGCAGATGTAATTGAAAGTCAGCCTTGCACTTCTCTCATTGTAAAACGGCAACTGACATTGAAAGTGTTTCGAACGGCTTTTTGAAATACAAAGTCGGATTAATGACGCATTTGACTTGACTTCTCCTTTTTGTCCATCTATTCCTGCGCAATGTGTATACACTGTCCGCCAGTCCAGGCAAGGCAAGCTATAACAAAGAAAAGGAAACATGCACAAACCTGAATTTTTGCTTGGGAAAAAAAAAACACCATTATACTGTGATAATGAGATGGTGTAGGTGAAAGCGAGCCCCGGACCACAAACGGCGTCCTCATCTCACTAGCCTGCTCCCCCTACACACACACACACACACACACACCTGTCTTCCAAACACTTTTTTTTCAATCAGTTTGGTTCTGGACAAATTGTATAGCCAGTCATCATTTCCAGCATTTTAATGATTGCAAGCAGAACTTTTTGTCCTTGTTAGCTTGGTTTTTCCTCATTTGCCATGTCACACTTAAAGAAAAAAAATAAAGAAAATAGTCTTCTTTTAAGTGCAAGCACAGTAATACTTTTACACGGGCACACGCACACACACACACACACACACACTACCAAACAAGCAGAGAAATGGCAATGTCATTAAAAATAAAACCACTGGCTTAAAAAAAAAAAAACTGCCAGGACCAAGGGGCGTGTCAGCGGCGCGGCGGTGAAAAGAGTCCCCCTGGAAACAATGAGGGGAATGATCATTTGTTGTTCTTGAAAACCCAGTGAGGTTTCACAGAGGTTAAGCTTCCCTTTGATGTGTTTTTAACTCGTTTCAGCTCTGCAGAGGGATTAGCTTCATCTCTCTCTCTCTCTCTCTCTCTCTCTCTCTCTCTCTCTCTCTCTCTCTCTCTCTCTCTCTCTCTCTCTCTCTCTCGCTCTCTCGCTCTCTCTCTCACACACACACACACACACACACACACACACACACACACACACACACACACACACACAAACACATGCAATGGACACTTTTTGCACACAGACTCTTAATTTCCACACTGTGTGCTCTTATCGCTCAAAGAAGCAAGCAAAGAACAGGATCCTTCTTAACCTAATTTCATCAAATGAGCGTGTGTGTGTGCTCCTCGTAGCGCTGTATGTGTGGTCCTTAGTTGTTAAATAGGCAAAACACTACAGTCAGTATTTTTTTTCTACAGCAAGTTAAAGTCGGGCTGAATTATCACAGCACATCATGCACGTTTGTTTTTGTTTTGTTTTTTTAGGATCCAGGATCCAACTGATTGGAGGCTTTTTACTAAGCAAGGTCCCTCTGGGGCAGGAGCACTAACATTTCATTAATTTCCTCACAATCTTGAACTAAAAAAAAAAAAATCTCCATCCTTAAATTGTCTCCATGTTTGTCCTCATTAGAATTGCGGGTGAATTGTAGCCTATCCCAAGTGACTTAGGTAAAAGGCAGGGTACAACCTGGGCTGATCCCCAACCAATCACAAAGCACCTACAGTGTGTACAACAAACGTTGGAATTTTCCGAAATCTTTTTGAAATGTGGGTCAAAGTGCCATCTAAAAGCATCCCAATGATTCTATAGGGCATAACCGGACCTTCGCTCGCCTCTAAGCCGACGAGTTTTCAGGTAAAATATGTTCCACTAATACTGCTTGGTAGGAGGCTGTGGCCAGGCTTATTCGAGGTCAATTGGGCAAACATGCACTCTATCTCAATAGTGAAGCACCAGTGTTGGCTGCCTTAATTGTTTACTTTATCTAGCCAGAAAATTAGGAGTAATGCACATAAAAGGACATCCCAATGACTGTAGTCGGATTTGTCGTTGTTATAATGGATTTCCGTTGTCCCCAGAGAATGAATGTTTGCACTCCGTTGTGAATGCAGCAAATTGTGAAGAGTGGAGGGACTGATTCCACCCACAGAGGCTCAGTATGTAAAATGAACATCTTGAGAACGTTTCCAGACAGTTTGAGGCAAAAAGACAAGCATACACATGCAAAGTCGGCCACTGGTAGAATTGAGGAATTGGATTTGGAATGAGAGTAAAACAAGAGTGACAGACGGATGCGGAAGGATGCAAAGCTAAGTGAACAAAGGAAGGGAAGTTAAGGCGGTACGGTGGTTGGAATTTGACTTTAGGAGGAAGATGATGAGAAATAAATGTGAAAGGTGAGACGAGCGTGGATGCTTAGCGAGGGAAAGCTGAGGAATGCGCTGAACGAGCAAAGCAAAGGCTCTTGGACGTTTGGGGTGGCAGTGGAAGGGGAGCATATTGTCCTTATCGGCCTGCTCCAGAAAGCCGGCTCTCTAATGGGGCCCGTGTGAAGGGGAAATGAGGGCTAGGCCTGATGCTAGCTGATTAGCCATCGACTCCCAACACCCATGAAAGACTGGAAGGGAGGGGGAAGACAGAGCACATTGTGTCATTGTGAAGGTGAGTCGCCGTCATATCCTGGATTGACTCTCGCTTTCTGAACACCGGCATTGGCCATTTACTTTAACCTTGAGAGGGTGAAAGGAAGGCCGTCGAGAACCAGGATGCAGATGCAGGAAGATGAGGAGTGGAGCGGGGGGATAATGACGAGTGCATAGACCCCTCCCCTCCAAAAAAAAAAACAAATGGCTGCAGGAGGTGTTGGGAGCAGGAGACATCAAAAAGGGTCTTCACGCTCCTTATTAGAGCAATAATGAATTTTGCTTTTTAGCTAATGATATTTCGGGACGGCTCAGTTACTTTGCGCAGGAGAGATGACAATGACGTCTCCCACCTGTTACTCACGCTCAAAGTCACACATCGCACGCATGCAGCCACTTGGGCACCTGGAACCCAAGGACAACACATCCAACGTGAAAAGAGGCAAGGGTGTCCCCGTTTGAAATTCAACTAGTCTCAATGTCCTCTTTTTTTTCCCGCCCTGAATTCATTCCTGTCTCTCTCTCTCTCTCTCTCTCTCTCTCTCTCTCTCTCTCTCTCTCTCACACACACACATATTCATCATGTTGCAGTTACCTTTCACCCTAACATTCTATCCTCAGGAACCCCAATATGGCAGCAAGTGACCTTCATTAGTCTGATTTTCAGTTCCATCCTCGCTGTGTTTGTTTTTATTCTCTCCACGTGTGACACATTTGACCTCCCGATTTTTTTTCTTCCCCTTTTTAAGTCCTTCAACAACTCCATCACACACACAGCATCCATTTATGCTCCTTTTTCTCCATTTCCCGCCTTCTCCCTTCTTTCGCCCTTATCCCCCCCCCCCCCATCATTTCTTTTATCTGCCACTCATTTCTCATTACGTTTCTCTTTTTTCATTAGCATACAGAGTAAGAAGATGGCGCCCGAGGTAATCTGCCGGAGCCGTCGCTTGACAAAATGGAGGGCGTCATCGGAGGTCGCGGCGCTGTCACCAGACGTCCAACCTCCGCTGATGACTCGCCTGTCTCGATGCACGCCTGCGCGGCGCACATGAGCGAAAGATGCTAACGCGGACCCATAATCAGGTGTGACACATTGCAGTTTAAATGCACCGATCTCACCTGACAGCTCGTACACGCGAACACGCCCGTTACGCTCATGCTGTGGACTAATGCGAAGAAAACACGCATTGACAGGTAGCTCACTAGAATCGACCAGTTACTGTTAAAGTCTAAATAATTTCCTCATATATATATATAAGAGTTAAAGATATATATGTGTGTGTGTGTGTGTGTGTGTGTGTGTGTGTCCTCATATATATATATATATATATATATATATATATATATATAATTATTACTAGCGCACCCCCCTGGCAACAATTCTACTAGCCGCCGGTGGTGTTAATAATGATTCCCCCAAACAGGATGTGCTTGTCCTATGGAAAAGGTTGAGAAAAAAAATGGATGGTGGAAAAAAAAAAAGAGGATAAACAGAGCGTGTGGGACGATTCCCATGCGGCAATGTTAAGTTGGAGTAAGTTGTGTGTGAGCTTGTCACTATTAGTGTCCCTGCCATGCTTATGAGAGCTGCAAATACTTTGGTGCTAATAGACAGATTATGGCAAGAAACCAAGCATGTCCCCAAATCCTCTTAGCATGACTTCACCCTTTTTACTTATTTATTTCCTGCCATACCCCCCCCCCCCCCCCCCACCCACCCCCGTGGGCTCTGCAGGGTCT